AGACTCAGCATTCATTCTAGTCTCGTTTGTGGGTATGACCTCTCCACACTCTCAAGGTATGGAATTGTTTCAGTCTCAGCAGGCTGGGCTTTGATAACAACCTCAGGAACTTCCAGGAACAGATTTCAGTGCAGATGAGCAGCATTTGCTGCTCTTTGCCTGAGGGTTGCTGCCCAGGAGCAAACCCTGCTGGTTTTCCCTCCTGAAGAGAGGTCAGTGACCCACAGGAGCCCATCCAGAATGAACCCTGAATTCCACAGGCTCGGCGACATCCGCCCTAACGAAGCTTCCTAAAAGTAATGTTACATCTTGGAAAGAGCTGTGCATGCCACACATCAGTGCCAGTGAGTACAAAGAGTCTCGGATGCTGTACCTAAGGGTGTGATACACAGGTGAAATGACAAATACGGAGTCAGTACCTTGCAAGATAATCTTCCTGGTGCTGCCTTGTGGTAAGTGCTGGATGGCAAATCACTGGCTTGTGCAGTTCATTAGACTATGATAAAAACAAGCAGTTTAAAAAGCTCTACAGGCCTCTGTTACCTGCTGCAAAGACACTTGGTTTTGTGGGGCTTTGTTTAAACCGTGCTCCAATTTCCCCCCATCCCCAGAGACTGATATAAAACTATACCCAAATTCAGTAAGAATTTAATGCCTTTACATTTACTGAAGTTCACATGCTGCAAACAGGACCTGAAGATCTTCAAATACAGGGTGACAGGTCCTTAAAATCCCCTTTTGCCATACCAGATGTGAGGATGCAGGTGAAAGCCACCACCACGACCACACATCCACCTCAACACTGTGCACCACGTGTGGGGACATGGGGGTCACTGTCCTGGCCACAGTTACCAACTGTCCTACCCAACAACAGCACCACAAACCCCTCAGATGAATGCTCAGCCAGAGAGGAAGATACAATCAGTGGTTTGCTTACGCCTCAAAGCACAAGGACTTAAGAGCAGATGGAAATACCCAGCTGCAAGGGCCAGTATCCTGCTAGTTAACCAAGATGTTCTGCATTAAAAGCAGAAAGGCAGAGCATTCACTTTGGATGAACCACTCACTACCCTGTGCAAGGGGCTCTGAGAAAACTGCCACTGAAGTCGAGGTCACCGCTCACCTCTCCCATTCCACAGGCAACATTTGCCAACAGCTCTACTATACATTCGTTTGGTTAAACAGCTTTCAAATTACATTAAGAAGATCCTCAGCCCATGAATCACAAATAAAATAACCTTAACAGGCCTAACTAAAAAGGGTTTCAATAACCACTGAAGTGTTTCTTGGGTGTGAAGATCAATTTCCACAAGACAAGTTTGGTTCCAGGAGGGCGAGAAAGAAACAGGGGTCAAGGTTCTGGGACTCAGCTGTGATAGAGGCTGTGAGCAGCCAAGAGGCAGCGATTAGCTGGAGGTTTCAGGCTTCTGGCAGGAGGGACCCTCACACCTGCCCAGAGAAGTGCACTGAAAACCACTCTGGAAACCACACAAGTTCATTTTCCAGCCACATGGAGAACAGAAATGTCCTTGAAATGGAGGAAAGACAGAGACCTGTGAAGTACAGGGAGACCTTGTGTGACCATTGTCAAAGGGAAGCAGCCATCAAAGGTGACTGAAATCACTGCTCACAGGGAGAGAAAGAGTGGAGGATCCTTTAGCCTGGACCAGACACTGGAGGTTTGTTCCAAGGGTTATGCCAGCTCAGGCTCACAGGGAAAGACAATCAAGATCCAAGCTGTAAAGTAGCCACTGGCATTTTCCCCCAAATACATCCCATTAAATGCACCCCTATAAAGAGTATAAATACGAAGCCCTGAGAACAAACTTCCATTTAGCACATATCTATTAAAAATATCAGTGCTTTGATGACAGAACTATAAGTTACATATATTTAAATAAATAGCTAGCTTTCAAGAGTCACACGACACCAAAAGTAGAAGATTGTCTGTATCGACTGATGGGGTGAAGAGCTAGAACTGTAAGACACAGACGTTGGATTAGCCACCTACCACCCTGCCACTTTACTGCTTGATTTCACAGGATTCCAAATAGTCCCTTGACCATGTTACAAGACACGTAAACACAACATGTCTTTGCTAGTTAGAACTCGAACACCAGAGATACAGGCACGGGACCTGAGCCTGTAAATCCTTCCTCCTGTGAGTAGTTCTTCCTCACAAAATCGCAGCATTTTATGTTTTTAAAGCAGAAACTTCTACCCCCACGTGCTCAGGGACCTCTCGCTGGCTTACAGACCAGATCGACCAGCCCTCTACCCTTCAGCCTGTGACAGGGCATCTCATCACCAGGCACAGCTCTTACCACCCATGTTCCTTGTGCCTGGAGACCTGTCTGCACGTTCTGACTCAGTGGCAGGGATCCTTCTGGGTTTTCTGCAGGTTTTGTAATGATGAGGATAACCAACACCTTTGCAGGCACCGTGGGCTTAACCCTCTGTTCACTGGGATGGAGCAGGACTACACCCCAGTGTGATGGGGCACATGGCTCCCCTGTCTGCTACTAGTTCATACCCTAACACCACCACCATGTCTTGACCAATTCAAGTGTTCATTTAAACTCAAGAGCATTTCTGTTTTCAATCAACTCCTATGACTTCTATGCTTACCACACCTCCTAAGTTCTGGGCTCTTTCAGCCACTGGCAATGTCAGTTCTCAGAAGAGAAGTGAGACTATCTATGTTAAAGCCATCCCAAACAATATGACCGTTTGGCAGATCAGGAAGAACACACTCTCCAACACTTTGGCTGTGTTAAGTGCAGAGCTCTGGAATAATGAATTCCAGAAATAACCATGTATTCCTGAGCCTTCAGGCATTTTAAAGACACAATATTCCTTTATCCCTAAGGTCTCTAACTGCTGCTGCAACACCAGGTTATGTTGTTGAACCTGGCCCTCTTACCTTCCTCTATTTCGTAAGCATGACGTGTTTTACCAATGCTTTTTTCCACACCTTGTAAAAGGCTGAGCAGCACTGACTGTTCTGGCACACCGAGGGAGCAGCTCTGGTAATCTTTATCATCCCAATCAAACTGACACTGAAGAACATGCACAGTTCATCACCAGGTCCTGGCAGTATCATCCTCTCTCTGATCTCACTGCTGTGGGGTTGATGCAGAGATACACAAGAAGCAGAACCTGTACCCTTAAAAGCAAGCCTCCTGCTCCTCAGACACCGTGTACCAGGAACGCCCCAGCTCCAACCCCTAAAAGCTGGGGGGCTGGTTCAAGCTCATCATCCACACTGCCCTGGCAGTAGCCACGGACAGTCCTGGGGCAGCTCCTCCCATGGCAGTTGGGGTTGCTCAATTGCCACATGGCTGATCCCCCCCCAGGTTCTGCCAGCAAACCAGATGCCAAACTCTAAAGCTGACAGATGACCCTTGCCTGGTCTGCCTGGAAGCTCCACAGCCACTCCAGAGTCTGGTCATGTAGCACTGAAATCAAAAGCAGCATTTCAACAAGGCTTTACATTCTTCAAAGACCAAGACTGCTACCAAAGTATCTGTTCATTATGTCTGAACCTCTCCTTACTCATTCAGAAGCCAAAAAACCCCCACCAAACTACAGGGTAGTTTTCCTCAGCTGTCTTCTAAAACCACTCATTAAAAGGAATATTTACAAGAAACCCAATCGGTAGAGAAGGACATAAGCCTCTAACATTAAGAGCTTCAAGTAATAGTGTCTTCTGGTAGTATTACAGGCAAAAAGCTTCAGGGAGCAAGAACAAAAATGGACAAAACAATCAAAACCTTTCATAACTCTACAACATTCAGTCCTGACTACTCAGGAGTGGTTGTGCTGTACTCACTGGGCTGCAGGACTTGACTCCTAGTTGTTATAGTTACAGGACAGGTTACAACTTAATGTCATGCTGTCAGTCTGTTCTTAGCAAGAGTCCAGTCTGAACAGAAGCATCATCTCTATAAAGCCTGGCATTTCTAAATGTAGAAGGAAATATTTCAGCAGTCATGAACTGTAAAGCTTAATATGAAATTACAAATAAAGTCTTGGGATAGTAAGTCAAGATAAAATCTCATGCTCTTTTGAGTTCCCCACCCTTCATATTAATGATGTGAAATTGGCAACTCTGGTGCCTTGACTGCATAACAGCAGAGATTGGATGCCAAGTTCAGGCCAAAACTTGTTATAGGGTTTCGGGTTGCATCTTGTTGCATTTTTGCTTAAGAAAAGCCCCACACTTAAAAAGGTAACTTGCATTGCTCCGTGGGATCCCACTACCTAACAGGACCCCTTTGTGCTAGCTAAGGATGGGGTCCTCAGCTGGTTTCTCTGCATTCTGGAGAGGCAAGTCTTGCCTAGCCTGCCTTTCCTAAAAAAGGGCTGTGAAGTGCGAGATAAGGCAGGGATCAGGACAGATGTGAAGCATCATTTTCACTGATCTGAAAATAAAACCTATTTTTGTTCAGACTCACACCTGCAGAACCCAACCGAAAACTGTCTGCATAGTCCCAGCGAGTTCTATCCTTGAAAGCTCACAGCTCCTGTCTGAAATCCCAACTCAGTCTTCTGTCAAAAAGGGAAAGCCCCAGCCTGACATTCTTGGTATTTCCAAGGTAAAAAACAAGAGTCAGGAAAAGCCACTTCTATCCCAAAGATGGTCATTCCAAGCTTGCTTTTACACACGTTAAACAAGGTAAAACCTAAACTGTTCTGCTTCTTTACAGCTCATCAATGAAAAAACCATGCAAATCTTTGTAAACAGTTTGAAACAAAGTCAAAAAACACAAGTTTCCCTTTCCCAAACTGTGCATATAGAAATGGAAAACACCCCCTACGTGACTATATCCCTCCTTGCACTAGGATATGGCAGAGTATGGACCTATGAACTGCAGCCTACTTGAGAATCCAAGCCTTGGTGTAGCAAGTTCTGTTGTGAAAGAGATACTACATCTTTAACAGAGCTGACAGAGAATCCCCTAGAAGTACTGCAACAACACTAACGCAGAAAATAAATAGGAAAAAGTAATGCTATTTATTAAAAGAATTCCATCTCGGAGTTATTGTGTTTAAATTAAAATGCACGATAAACAGGTTTGGATAGAAATGTGCTTCCTCTCCCAATAGTTGAACTTTTAAAAAACATTTCCTAAGAATCAATTTAAAAAAGCATTTTATAATTTGATAGAGCCATAAATTAATACTGTATGGAGATGATTTAATATCCTATGCTAGTGGTCGGTGACCTTTTGTAAACACTAGCCAGATGCTAGGAAAACTGGCTAGAAAACTACTGTCACAGGCCTTTTTAACATGAACGACTGGATTTCTTTTCAACAGTCAGATTCTTGGTTATTTTCACAAAACCTTTTCCTATTTTTTGATATATTTCATTTTAAACCTAATACCTGAAAACAAGTCTTCAAACCTCTTCCACTAACACTAAATCCACAAGGCAATTAACTTCAGTTGGCCGTAACTACGTAAGCTCTCGCGTGAGACGTCCTGTTCAGACAGGATCTCCCCCTTTCCCCTTCCATCCACCTCCTCCCAAGCAATCCATGCACCCTCCCGCTGGGGTGAAGGTGAAGCGAGGGGCACTAGGAAGTGGCACAGTGGACTGGCATCCCCCTCTACGTGCGATTCAGCGTCTGGAAGATTCGAGAGATCTGTAGCATGACAGGCCCAGTTTCCGGATCATTCATCCACTGAGTGCTGTTCAAGGGGTTTTCAAGCATGTCCTCGAAGGCTGCCAACAGATGGAAATTGCAACACTCAATTAGTCCCTTAGTCAGCAAAGGCTTCAATGTTTGGGATGCTTCAACAAGAGGACAGTTCAAAATAGCTACAACACAAAAGCAGGGGCAAGTATCACCCCAAAATGGGAGGAATACACACTGTGCATTGCATTCTGCTTCCCCCGTTCCTCGGCACTGAATTCTCTGCACGCTGCAGAGACTGAAGTATAGCGCCTTAAGCCCTCACATCTTGAGCACCATTTTTTCAGAGGCCCCAGGAGCATCTTCCCTCTGAGCAGCTCATGCTTTCTCCTTCCTGGTGTCTGGAGAGCAGAGGATGTCAGGAAGACAGCCAGATCCACCTGCCTAAACATAGGCAGAAGGGGAAAGCCTGGCTGTGCACAAGTTACCTCCATTTCTGAACAATGACAGTCATCCAAATATTTAAGAGCACTTTTTGCTTTTTTTACAAAAAGCTTTGTTGTTTTCTTTTGCTTCTTTAAATGTGCCAGTTTTCACTCTCCTACTTATGTTCGAGGGCCCAGACAGCTACTGCAAGAGTTAAGTTGCAAATCTGGCAGAAGAATGGTCCAGGCAATAACTTATATGCCTTGTGACAGAGACTGAGCTGGACCAGTAGATGTTTGGAGCAATCACTACGGAACAGGACAAAAAAGCAACACTCAAAAGCACATCTGACCTATTCAGAAGTCACCAAAATGTCAGTGTTGTAAGAGTCTGGCAGACTGGCACCAAGGTCAGTGTCTTAATATTCCCCAGGGGTGTTAGTGTACAAAGCTCCAACTGACATTAGTGGGAGCTATAAGTACCCAGCACCTCTGAAAGGCTCATCATTAATACCCTGCTCAAGGTCATGTAGCATGCCTACAGGAAAGTGCAGATCTCACCTTTCACCACTTCAACTGTACTCTTTCACACAGACTCAAAAGCTTAAAACTAAAGATTTATCAACATTCTGTAAGTATCTCATTAAATTCATTATTAAAATCTGCAACATAAGCAATTTGCAGATGTATCATTAGGAATATGGTCTCTGATGTTCATCCAAGCTTCACAAGCACACATAATGGCATTTCATTTTCTATTTATATTCTGAGCTGCAGTGTGGAACCCTCGCTGGAAATGAAGAGACCATTTGTTCAGAAATCAGAGTGGGAAGGTTCTGCTCTTGAATTATTTAAAGGCTTGCAAACTCTCCTAATTACATTTAAAGCAGTATTTTTAAAAGCTCTCTTGAAAGTGCTGCTTTCTTTAAAAGAACTGCCTCAAATAAATTTTGAAGCCAAAAAGCCTAAATGCAAAACTTTTTATACACATCACAGAGCCAATGTCATTCTTCTGGATCATCCTCTGGCGTCAGAAAGACCAATTCATCAGAGATTGATCTGTTACTGTCAGGCTCATCAGTTGGGTACTTACTGTGCTCACAGTCTGACCACGAGCACACAGACTTTACCAAGAAGCTGAAAGCCAAGCGAGGGGAAGTGTATTTTCACATGTATTATCTCAACTTTGACAGGCAAAGCCTTAGCTCAGACTTGTTTGGTTACTCTTCCACAAGTTATCTTCCATCTCAATGATCAGGCCCCAGCACACAGTAAGCTGTACAGCAGAAGACAGCCTTGTTTTTAATGCTAAATAATCAGAGTTCTAGTCAGACATTCCAGATTTTTCCCCTCATGGCAAAAGGGAGCACACAAAAGGTCTCCTAAATCCACAAAAGCATTGCAGCCAGCAGCTATTAAAGTTCTGAGTTCAGCAAGTGTAATCCAGTAGCCTGGGGCATGAGTAGCAGTTCTGGGGCAGCCCCAAGTCCTGTTCTGGGTTTAGCTGAGTTGCAGTATGAAGCAAACAAACAATACAGCTGCTGAAAGTGAGGAAAAGGGCACAGGGCTGCACCTATCCCACAAAGTGGGCTCTCATCACCCAGCCTCTACTCTGCTGGCAACTCCAGAGACAGCGTATATACATCAGGAACCCACGCAGGACTTACCTAGTAGAGTTTTAGGGTTGGTTAGCCCCAACTGTACCACTGGGTTTTCTAAGATGGCTTGGAAAAGAGGGCTGTTGGTGTCAATGCCCTTATCTAAGTCCTCTGGAGAAGGCTTTCTGTCTCCTAGCAGCCATTCACACTGAAAGAAATCACCAGACAGAGACTTCATGATTGGGTACATCAGAATGAAAGTGTCTCAGAAGTTTTGACAACGTGGCATGTTCCATATTTTTAACTCTCACAGTTAAAAACAGAGCTGTGCATTTCTTTTCACACTCGGTTACTATTCATTTGTGTGTTTCTCTCACAGAAATCAACTTTTATTTCAACAGGAACAGCAGCAGTGTCTGGTGTGGTAATAACATGAAACCAACTTTGGATGTGTTAGAGCTCAGGGATGATGTGTATTATCCCACATACACCCTGCCTCAAAAAGAAGCCCATCAGCATGGCTACACCACAGCAGCCTGAAGTATCATCTAGCCCAATCTCCTCTAGCAGTGGCCAGCACTGGATGCTTAAAAGAAGATTCCTTGGCTGTCAGCTGTGCCCACATAACTTTCCTCAACATACCATCCACTAGCAGGGGACTAACCAATCTTTGAAAGCCTTCACATTTCTTTGACTCCATGAACTGTGGAACGCATTGCTGCAGAATGGTAACTTACACCCTGCACGGCCTGAATCTCTTGTTTGATCATTTTTTCCTGTCCTTTAATCGGTTGTTAATTATTTGGAATACCTTTTCCTTTCTCGTGATAGCATAATCTCTTTGGCAGACTCCAGTGAGGGAGTTTCTCAAAAGCTCTTTGAAAATCCACATATGCTATCCCAGCCAGATCAGCCTCAACCTCACACATGCTGAGGTCCTCTAAGAAGTCTAAAACCTTTGTATTCTACTTGTATATCTAATTTGAAAGAGGCACAGAATATATAGTGCTCGTTTAATGTCCAGTAACAGTTGGGCTTTATGACAGATCAAAACATCAACCAATTCAATGATAGAAAGAATCAGTTGAACAGACTATTACAGCAGTAAGGAACAGAAGTGACATTGTACTCACGGCCGCATTTTGCTGGTTGTTGTTTACTCTGAGTGCATCTACCACTTCTTTTTCATCAAATCCCATCTCCATCAGGGCAATGACAGCCTAGATCAGATTTGCACAGCTTAATAAATGTAACAGAACAGAAATGAGAACATTCACATCCTCCTTTGTGAGGAGCATTTGTGGGGTAAAAACCTCACTGCTTCCATTTGTAGACCACTAAGTAATCTTATCCACAAGGTTTTCAAATATCCTGTATCTAAAGTGTCTTTATTATGGAAAAAAAGTACATCTCAAGAGGAAAAGGTAGTTCCTGTCCTCATCACTGAAAGCCGAATGCAAGGCAAAGAACAAGTGTACCTGGGGCAGAAAGGAGAAGAGCAGGATAGAAACACCTTATTTTAGAACATGCCACAAAGGTTTTATTCACATCTCACTGGCGGATCACGCTTCAAATGAATTTGTAGTTCTATTCACTCAATTTCACCTCCCAGATTTATTATACTGCAAGTGAGTGTTACGTGTTTAGACAAGCATAACTAGATATTGTTAGGAGAATGTTTAATCATTTAGAAATTGTACCCAGGTCATCAAATATATTTACACCTTTTTGCTCAAATCTCAAGAAACAGTTGTAAAAACCAAGCACTAGATTCTAAAGAGCACCTCCTGGTGAGTTCACAGTGTGATAACACCACATTTTCTCTTCAGCTGATACTGACAAAAAGGCTAACTTCTTAAAGCCTTCAGACTTAAATCTGCTGGTGATACTTTTCCTTGCTCCCTTAAATACAATAATGCTTTTCTGTCCTTTTCTACAGCAAAAGGACATACTGCTGTCCCACACCCCTTCCTTCCTAGACAGCAGTCATAAAAAGCAATGTCAGAATCTTGGCAGCTCATTTCAGTCCCATCAGATGGTTTTCAGGTGCAGAAGTAACAGTGTCAGTAGTTTAGATACTGCTGTCTGAGACAGTAGTGCATTAATTAGGTAATATCCTTTCCAGTAGCCTAGATTTAAACAGTCCCTAAAGACACCCACTAAAATACTGTCAAGCCAGCATAATACACATCTACCCAGATGTCCCATTTCATTTATTAACTAAACGTTCATCTGGATTCCACGGTGCCCACACAGCCCCTTCCAATCCCAAAAGAGCAAGACAAACAGCACGTACTCGTGGGTCTGGACGGAACTCTCTTTTCCTCCGGATCTTCTTGAATATCTCCGTCAGCTCATCCTTGGCCTCTTCCTCACCCACTTCTGAACTAGGACCTGCAGTTGCTTCAGCAGAAGATGCACCAGCTTCATCTGTGGCTTCTGATGGAGTCTGACCTGGAAGCGGAGCATCCACCGCAGGGTCATCTGCGTGTTCTATCAACCACTCCATGGCCTGTGTCACTGACATACTGAAAAGCAAATCAAAACACAGGCGTGAGAAACACTCCAGATGCACAGCAGCATTCCACAGACACTTGCCTTTGCATTTACTCCCATGGTATACTGACTTGCAGGCTAATTAGTATCTGAAAAGTCATAAAGTTTTGAAGCAAATCTCAGAGCACTTTAATTCTTTTGCTTTCAGGGCACCACAATCTTCTCTGAAGCCAGGAAGACTCAGGAATGAAATCCAACTTGGACAGCTGCAACCCAGATTTTAAGAGGCATTTCTGAGGGAGTCACCTTATTCTCATCAGCTGCTTTATTTCACAACAGAGAAAACACTGACTATGTGCAACTGTTGACAAAGCTGCAAGCAAAGCATGTTCCAAACTCACATGGAACCACATCTCAGATGCAAGCTGCTTTGTTGCTCAAAAAGATCTCTCTCAGACATCTATCCAGTCATCAAGGAATGCCATTAACAAAACAAGAAATAAGGAGGGTAAAAAATGTTACATGTACACAATATGCCTTGAGCAAGATTCAACACAGGCAATTGCATTTGGACATGTACCACTCTGTTGTTCGTCCACTCTGACTTCAGAAGAAATCTGTGACCCCTTAAAGGAGGGGCCAGCCCAAAGGAACAGAACATCATGATCAGAACAGTCACTTGCTATGCAGTGCAAGTGCTCAAGCTAAGGGATCTTGAGGGCCCCAACACATCTCAGTGAAAACAGAGGAAGAAACAAAGATAACAAGAGGGCAACTGAACATGTAATTTCATTTGACACATGGGAATTATTACACATTCATAGAAAAGAAAGCCTTGGCCTATTTGGCTTTTCAGTGCCAACATGAAAGATGGATGACATCAGGGGAGCAAGTCTTTCTGAGCCACAAGGGAGTGGAAAAGAGTGACTGGAATACGCTGTGGAAGCTCTATCATTAGAAGTTTTTGAGAATGGCCTAACAAACCCTTCTGAGAAGTCAGGCAGTACAGCTGATCCTTCTTAGGGCATAAGAACTACATTACCTCCTATTTTCCTACAGTTGCTATCAGGACTTCACCATATTCTTGGCATGCCTTTAAAAGATCAGCACAAAGTATTTTTCTTCAGCTGAAAGACCAATGCAGATGGAATAGGTTTGCTTTTTTCTCTGCAAAATCTGAATTCTAAAGTGGGAGAAAATGCAAGTTCAATACTTGGAAACAGTGCCAGTGAACCACAGACCAGCAGCTCTTTCCAGAGCAAGCACAGCACTGCTTCCTTTCCCTGTGCCATCCACACCTGCTGCCTGAGGCAGCGCTCTTCTTTGAGTTAATGCTTTCTCCAACCTAGTTTTAGGTGACCCACATAAGGAGACTTTAGAGAAAAGATTCATTTTTGTTGGTTTAACCATATCAGGTAGTTCACAGGCAGCGTGCTGAGTACACTTACTGATTTAATCGAAGGGCTTTGACAGCTCTGCTTTCTGGAAACCCCATTTCTGTAAGCTGCCGCAGAGCTATCTCATCCACTCTGTCTTCCTCATCCTCATCCAGCATGGCTACACATACAAAAACAAAACAACGTTCACATTGACTTCAAGCTGAAATAAACCCCTTCCTCAACGGAATGGCATGCGTTAAGTTTAGACTCTATTCTTCTCTTCCATCCCTTCTTTTGTTTCTGCTCTGGATTTGCTATCTCATCATTTAATATGCTGCACTCAGCTTGGTTTGGCTCCGATATATTATTCTTCCAGGACAAAGACTTTGTCCAGATGTGTTCAAGATCTCAAATAAAAGACAAATAACTCTCACATGACCATGGAATTTCCACATAACAAAATATATGAGATCCACTGAAGATCTATTTATCATTTATCTGGAAAGTATGTTGGATCTGGTCATAGCAGATTTCAAGGGCAAGCATTTCCCACAAACTGAACTACACTTTCTCCTCATTTTATTATCTCCTTGTGCATTTTCAACTGTTTTTTACCATCCCTAAAGCACAACTGAAAGTTTTCCAGTTTTTTCACTACTAAAGATTTCATTTTTAAATGGAACTTCTCTTCATCCCAAAAGGACCTCAGAAATTCAGTTTTATACAAGCTATATCCACAAGGTGAAAAACTTTGCCGCAAAGTCTGTAGTAGCTTTGCTATTACATCAATGTCTGCACTCTGAGCGTGCTCCTCTGCTATGGTAGCAAACAAGTTCCCAGTAACTATAAAGATATGTTCATACCATTTGCCTTCTTAAATAGTTCAACTGCATCTGGGTTCAGTGCTAGCAGTTTCTGTGCAACTTCTATGAGAGACACCAAGATCTTCCGGAGCTCTGTCTGGAACTGCAAGAAAGGAAACTGTCAAAACATTTAGACAAGAAGTTACCAGCTATTATTGAATCTTAATATACCTATTGTTAGTATCTCAGCAGTAGTCTGGCCCCCTGTACAGATAATTGCTTTATTAGGGCTTTATTTGCATTTAGTCTCTCAAGAGGCACTGGCCTTTCCTGTGAAGTGCTATGTTTAAATAGCATGGGCAGAAAGTTCTTCTCATTCCTACCACAGCCATCCAGTTCCACCATAGGATGTGTGGTGGTCCAGAAAACTCACTGCTTCACAGAAACTTTAACACCTTGTAGATGTGTTACAAGAGACAGTCACAGTACCTCTGTACCACCAGTGCTTGCTTCTGCGAACCAACGAGCTTTCCTGGTCTACTCTTTGCTTTCTAGTAATCTAAATTTGAACCACACAGATCAAAGCTATTTTCTAGACTGAAGCATTACAAATTCCTTTCAGCCGGATGCTTGTTTTTAAATAAGCTGTGCTCAGCAGGTCATTTGGCCATTAAACAGCTTAAATGCCAACTGTCCCCTTTAGGTTACGAGGGCACGCTGACGTGGGCAGGTTCTCTGCTTCATATCCTACTAGTACAGGAGGGCAGAAGTGGTCTCCTCACTGCTGAAGACACAGTTAGAAGCACTACAGACTCTACTACCACTAAACTGCTGAAGTAAAAATTTACACTTGTCTTCTCAAAACTGTGGAAGATAAAAACAAACACTGCAAAAACCTGAACTATTTAAGACTGAAGAAATAAAAGAACCCTAACTTCACATTTGCCAGACCTTGAATATGTTAACTGAACCTTTCCCATGGACAAATAAAACACTTAAAATCATAATTTAGGACAGAGTGTTTTATTATCACTAAATAGTATGACCTGTATCCAAATGTTAAAGCCATCTACTTGAAGATACATTATAAACCTCTGTATTTCTCCTATAGAGAAAAAGAGAATCATATTATGTGTAAGAGAAAAGGTTATAGAAGATAAAGGCCTATTTGGATGTTAGTGTGTAAGTTAAGGCCAAGCCTAATACTTACATCCCTCATGTTGTGATGGGCCACGGTGCGATCTACATTGCGAGAGGGCAGATTTGCAGTCGCTTTGAGAATAGCATCCTTATCAGGAGCTTTTTGCTCTTGTTTCCTCTGAAGGACAGGAAACATGATCAGGTTTCATAACCCATTATCCACAGAACAGAGAACACAGCACAGAGGAGAGCAGTTTCATATTCTTCACCAAGGCATCAAGCAGTGCTCTGTAACTTGCAACTAAGAGAGACAGCAGTCTAGCAATTCAATGGATTAACAGCACCAGTACCATTTTGCAATTATAGAGCAAAACTGGACCTGCTGGGTTGCCCCACTTTCAGTCCTTACATCTACATGTGTTATCTAATCACATAGGGAAACTCCAGCATAGAGGGAAAGTGATGTATCAAACAGAGAAAACTCAGAGGCCTCAGTGCCCAGGACCATATTCTGCTCCACGTGGTCTGCTCATAGCATGCTCTCTTCAGACCCATGGTTTGACCAGAGATGTACCAATGCTGTGCACAGACTAACAACTGCTTCACACTGGAAGTGCTTTGCTGCTTGCAAGTATCATGCAGGTGCCTCAGACTTTCGATACGTGCTCATAGTCCAGGACAAGACATAGCAGGGTACGAACTATAAATAATTCCCGGTCTTATAACTTAGGCTCTTACAGTGACATTCAGCTCAGCAACACCATACTGAAGAGAAAGACATACACCAATACCTACAGGAAGGGCTACAGAGACATACACCAATACCTACAGGAAGCAAGAAGAAACAAAGCTGTGCAAGGACAAAGTAAAGAAACACAGGAATACACAACATCAAGCACAAGCATTGCTCTAGGTGTTTATGCAGTAACACGAAATGCAGTAGCACTGGCGCATAAGCAGCATCCTGGGCACCACTGACCCTCAGTAACAATCACATTCCAATAATAAAAGAAGAGTAAGGGGGCACCACTCCAGCTCTAGAGAGCTAGTTAGAGGGTGACAAGCCACACATAGCTAAAGCTAGAAGACAGCCTGATAGCAAGTCAACACATTTCTACTGGGTTTTCAAACAGAGACAAAGCAAGACACTTGCTGAACTATACTTACATAGTTATTAGACATTTGTTCAAAGATCAAATCTATACCACTTCCACAGAGTGTATCTGCATGTCTTATTCTAAGGCAAACGTTCTCACAATCAAAGTTAAAAAGTACACCACAGTAATCCTTCCACATATCATTAATAAAGCAGTTAATTGAGTTGAGAAGGCTTTCATACTCACTTTCTCCTCTGCTGACACATCTGCCATTTTGGGGAGTGGTGGTGGTGCACGCTTCTTTATCAAAAGCAAGACATCTGGAAAGCAAACGGCATCAAAATACATTAGAAAGTTATGTGAAAACAGTTCTTCACAAATCCCATTTTCCCCAGAGATTAATTTTGTATTAATTCCCCTGTAGCATCAGACCTCTTTCACACTTCAAAGCCTGTATGGCTTTCCACACTCCTTCAGTGCCTGCAGTTCCTGAGTGCACCGTGAATTCAAAACATGGTCCATTATTAATTACACATTGACTGTTACTGGCTTCCTTCACTCAATACCATTAAACAAAGCGTATCAGAGGCTCCAGTTATCTTCTACGATAACAGTACAGCAATTGGCTCATAATAATTAGAAAACATCAGCTCTTTCAGTGCTTCCACTAAGAAGGAAGCAATGGAGACAGGCGACAGATGGGTTTGGGTCTATGCTGGGGCCTTCCAACTGCAGCAAGGCAAGCACCAAGCTCCAACAAGACTTTCCAGTACCAGGCTGAATCTCACCTTTGTGTGTGAGTGGCACTAGAGAGATTCACAGTCTACAGCAGGATGCATCCCTGGGAGCCCACCAGGATGAGTCTCAAGGGCAAACAAGTCTTCAGTCTCAGATACCCTCCATCACCTGGCACAGGCTTGCTTTGTGCTTTGAAGACTAATATATCCTTACAAGGTGCCCTTTTTCTAGAGATCTAGAAACTTGCTTTCTAGAAATGCTAGATGCTTTCCAAGTTTCTAGCACATCAGTTACCACCACCTACATTCTGAGGGTGGAAAGATGCAGACAGACTGCAGAGCCCAAAACAGGCTTGTGCAGCATCTGCAGTCCTTCACCCAGATATGCCTGCCACACAGTTTTCAGTCCACTGCACTAAGCAGGTACAAAGCAAACAAAGCATGCTTTGCACAACAAGTTTCCTTGATCTGGCTCAGCACATAGCAGCCAAGAGCAACAGCTGGTGAAGGCTGTTAACCCTCATTTGCCCAGCTGATCAGAACGTGAAAGGATCCACATGCTGACTCTTGGCTGCCCTGTGCAGTCAGCTGTTGGCTGCAATCTTGTCTCCATGACAAGCAAGGCACATGCTGCAGAGGGAGGAGTGAGGAGGCACGCCAGCTCGCTGTGACCACCCAGTTAACACTGCATAGCTGCTGCAAATGCAGTTCAAAACTCCAAGAGCCAGCACCTCGCCTAGAAATAATACACCACGAATCAGCAAAAACGGTGCCTGTCGCCTCTTCCGAAGAGGACACCTCTCAGCTCTAAAGGTGATAGGTGACACTGCCTGGAAACAGACACCAAACTGCTCGTGCTCATGGCAGTTCTCCAGCCTGAACTCTGGCAAAAACCCAGGAACTCTAGTCCTGCTGAGTTTCTGGCTCAGACAGTATTTCAGTCTACAGTAATCCTGCTTCTCTCTGCACCACTGCCCTTCATCTCCAGAAAGTGCCATTAGCTTGAGCTGTCTAGTAAAAACTGACTCCAGCTCTCACCTTTAGATCTTCTTTTGTTTCACACTAATCCTTTACACCTTTGAAGTTCAGGAGCAAATACACACCTCACATACTCTGCTGTAGTCAGTGATACTGCAGCATGATGGATTCTGACCTCTGATTGCAGAGGACAGAATGAAGTCTAAACTGCAGACACTCAGAAACCACTCAGCAACCATCCTTCTGCTTGACTGGGAGACTTTAAGAAACCGTCCCAAAAGATTGTCTGGCTTGGAATACTCAGCCATAATTGAATGATTTTTGGAATCATTTTGAAGGATAAATGCTGCCCTGGAGGTTTAAAAAAAAAAAATCCTTTAGAAGGAGATAAAAATAACCTGTTTAATTTTACAACTTAATGAACACACTTAATTCCTTTTCAACTCCCAAAAGGAGAAGCGAAGAAAAGCAAACTGCTCAAGGTGCTTTCTCTGGGGGAATAAGTCTTTTTTCCTCTTCCTTTTTTGCCATCTTATGAGCTTCCCATGTCAAAGAGATATTAGAAAGTTACTGCCTGGAACTCGCCAAATGGTTTAAACACAATCTCATGTTTCCAGGCTGACAGGTTAAAAACCAGACGATCTCACCTCCATCTTGAACATTCTCCTCCAACACTGTTTTTGTGTCTGTCAGCACCTTCTCAGATGTAGCATGTATCAACTTATGATGCGTCACGGTTTTTGGATCCTCCAAGCTCCCAGGTACACACTGCAGAAGGTAATAAATATTAAAGATCAGAAGACAGAAATAAGCCTCCTGCATGAATCATTGCACCTTGCACTTAAGATTCTCCACATACAAACTGTGCCATCATTTACTAGCTCCCTAATAGCTTAAGCTAGAGGCCAGTGCACAGAATATGTTTTACTAAAGAAACTGAGGTTTCCACCTGCATATCCAGGCTCCTGGCTGGGAGAATAATCCACAAAAGGAAGGGGTTTAAGCCTTCCTTCCTCAGTGCTGTTAAATTAATAGCTACTTCAGGGAGTTGGACTTGATCCTTAGGGGTTCCTTGCAACTTGACATGTTCTATGATCCTATGATTTAAGTTCCAACTGATTATGACAGTCTAAAAAACTTCTTTAAACAGTTTCAAAGCATTAATATTACAGCTCAGTCATCCCAAGTGAGCCCTTCAAGGGCACTAGCTTATGTGAGTGGATTTATACTTTCACATTTTGTCGCCATCACACAATCCTGAGGATTTGGTCCTATACTCAGGCCTGCAGAGATTTGGAGCAAAGCAAGGATGCTCCAGGACCCACAGCTGTGTTAGTTCTGCAACAGATCACTAAGGTCACTCCTCTTACTGAGAAGACTGAGGGTAGCAATTAGTATTGTGAACTAAGAATGCAAATCTACAAAGAGCATCCAGTGTTTTTACAGAAGGGCTGTAATAACACAGCATGTTTCTCATTTGTAACCAGTGTCAAAACATAGGATAGACTCTGCTTCATCTAATAATTATTATTTACACACACTGTCAGACTCAACAAGCAAACAAGCAACTGCCAGCAGCAATTTTGGCATACTTAACCTTAAACTGGGAAGAAAGAGCAGTTTCTGCACCTCATATCAAGGTGAAATCAACAGATTTGGCTGCTGGAGCCCTGGGTTCCTGCTCAAAGTGCTGAACAGAAGTTACACATACACATTTCTGCACAATCATAAATAATCAGCATACAGGAGATTCTCTCATGTATGAACATTATGCTCAATTCCTTATTACAATTATAAACTGTATGTCAATTAATTCACTAGGAAATCAAGTTCAAATCCTGAAAAAAGAGCATGTGCACACCCAGAGGCCTTGAACTGACTCTTCTTAACACCACAGTGATTTCCAGATCCACTGACAGACCTCAGGAACATTACATCAGTGCATCAAGAGACTTCTAATTTGTTTGAATAGAAAAAGCAAGCACAGTGGTTGCAATTCCAGAAAGGCAAAATTAAAAATAACAGCCTACCAAACCCCTGAAACTGATGCTGCTGTTCTCACCACAACAGGACACTTAACGCTGACCTCACCTGCTCTGCTCACAGGAACAGCTTTTAATGATGATGCTTTTACCATATCTGCAAAAGAGTGTGTTCACCCTTCAGGTAACAGAGCCATTTCCAGAAATCTCACTGAAATCACTGCTTCCCTTTGATGTAATCCTGTCCATTATAGTATGTATCACCAGCTCCTTCAGAGAAATCCTTTTAGCTCATCACCACCTTTCCTGTTGTGACGGGAGCTGATGGAAGACTCAGCTACCTGCTCTTCCCAAACACGATGCACTCGTTTTCAACACTGATCTTCAGTTCCTCATCTGAGCTTCTATACAGCTCTGATGCCTCAGTAAGATTGAGGTGAGAATGTTTGAGCTCTGCTCTGTATAACAGTAGCTTCCTACTAATCCTTCAGCATATTAACTGCTGAACAAGAGCCAAAGAACACATTATAGCCTAGAAGCAGCTGGGAAGACCTCCTGTAATTGATCTGATAAGTTACCCGAAAGGCATAAGAGTACATCAGTGGAACATCTTCCCTCCAAACAAGCTCAAAATACTAGTTAGAGATGCTGAGAATCCCCCCTCCTCAAAAGGAAGAACCTGAAAATGGGAGCTGGGAGGTGTCTGTTTGAGGCAGAACAGGAACTGGCACAGACAAAGGGGCAGGGGGTGTCTGTGCTATCAAAATACTAAGGTGAAAGTGCAGGTGAAAAAATGAAAGTTGCTGTTTTGAAAGAGCAGTCCTGTGGACACCCATTTAACTGCCCAATCCTCTAACCACTTTATTGACAACTGCATAGAATAAGAAGGCAAATATGGAGAGTACATACATCAAAGAGACTGCTAGTGAAATACTTAGCTATCTTGACATTTTAACATGCCCTGGAACTAGAAAGGCCACGTTAGCAGGCAATGCCTCTACTAGCTGTTAACAGACCACCAGGAACTATGAACACTAATCATCAGATCTCGCTGTGGAATCTTGTTTCGTGAGAACCATTCTGCCAAAACACAGGATTTTTGTATTAAATCCAATGTTTTAAAGTGCAACTAAAACCACCTTCCAGCCCAGAGAGAGAACAGCACTGGTAATCCCCAGGAAGAGCAGGGAAGGGGAGAGGAATTCCCTGCAGAGCACAGAGGAAGCAAGGGAAATCAGGGTGCACCCTGCTGCCCTGGGGCATGGCAGGGCTAAGGAGCACTGCTCCCCACAATCAGAGGCACAGTGTGTGGGGAAGATGAGCTCTCTCGATCTTTTTGTACAAAAGGATTGCAAGGAGAGGATCTGCTGTTTCATCCTTTTGCTTCCAGCATAAATATTTGCATTTCTTTTTAACACTGGAGTTCAGGCTGCTTTGCCAGGCAGGTGAGAGAAACCTTTGTTCACAGGTGCCTGAGCAACTGCTGAACTTGTAAACCCTGCTGATGCCAAGTGCTGTTTGCAAAGCTTGGAATGCTGATAAACCACAGGGCTGTTTGTTTGGTTTTAAAATAAGAAAAAGCTTTGATTTTGTTTGCTTTTATTAACAGAAACGTTTGAAAATAGCACTCACACACTCCCTACTGCTAAGCTTGGGTGGCTTAAACCATTTGCATCCCTCACAAAGTATCCAAAACATGCCCAGGGGCATGAACCTACCTTATCTTTGTAGTCTGAAAAGTGGCACCTTGCATCTCTATTTCAGATACTCCTTATCACACCTTAAAAACCAGGTGAGTATCACCGAGACTGCTTAAGGGGAACAGAAGCACAGAGCATTAAAAGCTTGTCCCACAGTACCAGGAAAATTACAGGTAGGGCTTGCACACACGTACAGCCCATGTTTGTGTGTCCCAGGTGCATGACCACAATTTTACATCAGGATTTCAGAAACGCTGTGAGCCTCAGCAAGGAGCAAGGGTCTCCTGTGGCTGGAGTACCAGAACCAGGACTGACAGCACTGCTGGCCAACGCAGCGCTCTACTTGGACATACAAAGTATGTAAGTTAAGTGTGAGCTTCTGTGTTAAGCTGGCCCTTCTCAGGTCTGGTTCTGAAATGAACAGCTGCTTTTTAAGGAGGCCACAGGAGAGCTCAGGGTCTGCTCCTGCTGAGGCAGTGGGGTCTTGTGCTGTAGTGACTGATCCAAGAGCACACTTTCATAGTGAAACACGAGTTAAACAATCACTAGGAAGGAAAACGACGTATTATCAGGTATTTGTTCACAGACTATAAAGACAGCTTTATTAAAGGCAGGACTTTAACAATAATCACCACTAAATTGTCCAAAACGGATACAAATACTAACGTCCTCTGCTTCCCAAAAGAATGATTTCAAAGACTTTAAGGACTATAATAACCAGCATCTCACAAGAGATGGCTGCATAAATTATCTCGGGGTGCTGTCAAGATTCATTGCAATATACCCATCATCAGGAGAGATGATTTTTCCATTTCTATTTTTCCCCCCCTCCATAAAACTATATATTATCCATAATGATTATGCAAATCCACACCATTAGCACAAAGCAGCAGTGAATGAAATCAAACATCATGCCAAGTTATCAATTGTCTTCTGCCCTGACTCGCACTGCAATGCAAGCAGCTATTCAATTAAGCTTCCTGATAATTAAAGGCCTTTCAGCTCTGCACACATGCATGTGATTGTTACCCCACCCTGTTTTGGCAGGTTTTGCACCACTTAATCACTCAGCTGTGCTGAAGAGGGACAGGAGGGAAGCACAAGCCTTATCAAGGGAATGTAACAGTGTGGGGGACCTGCACTCCACAGCTTTCAGCAAGGCACCCCCATTTTCCCTACAAGATGTGGTTCTTCTCATCCCTAAATCAAAAAGCGCTTACAAAGACTAAGAGACAAGGAAAACTATGTGCTGTGACCTGTTGTTGCCAAGGGTTCTAGCTGGAAGCAGTGAGCTGACCCTTCCTCCACAGAGTGTTCAGTCAGAAACTAAAACCTTTTACCCCCCAAATGGGGGTTAAGAAATGAAATATTACGCATATGCTCACGTACTGCAAGCGTGGTTTATGAAACAAAGTCTTCCTAAGACTTCATAGACAAAACAAGCCCCACTGTTAAATGCAGTTCAGTAAGTTGCACTGCCAGAGGTGGGAGCAGAGGCTCTTGCTTTTGCCACCCCCAGCAACGCTCTCGGCAACAGATCCCACAGGTTACAACTCAAGCTGCCAGACCAGGCTGCACTGGTTCCAGAATGACAGAGTTTAGCACAGTCCTGGTGACAGATCACAACCTTACACCCTGTTATTGTCAATCCTGTTGTCAATCCAATAATAATAAGAAGAAGTAAAGCACCGTCACGGCAGAGCTTCAAAATTCAGTCCAACAGTTTTGGAACCACAGATTTTCACATTTAACACCCACAAACACACCAGTGGTAAGCGAGCACGTGGGTACAAAGAGCCTGTGTTTTCCAGCTCAGCTTCCACAGGCTGTGCCTGTGCAGTTTTACTTGTTTTCTCCTCCAGACAGTGGTAATTTACCCATTGGACACATCCATTAAGACCTTTCTGCTCAGAGCACAGGGAGAGCTTCACAAGAGCCCATTATCTCCCCACCACACATCCCACTGTGCCAACACAGGCTACGACTGGGCTAAGACTTTCAAACAAGGGAAGTTCTCCTCCGCAGTCACTTTCCTTTTCTGCTCTTAAAGAGAAACAAGAAACAAACCAAGCTTTAAGTTCTGAGG